AGCCATCTGCGAAACTTGACGCACGAACTTGCGTTTCCGGTCTGATGCATTCGAATGCGTATGAATGGAAGTCTATGAGGAGAAAAGTCCAGTGTGACCGCAGCTTAATAAGCCTTTTTTGTAAGTGCAATTCGTGGTCAGTCAGCTGTTAAAGAAACAGTGTTTCCTTTTTTTGAAAATAGACTAATTTTACAACTCCCCTTTTACAAGACGAAAGAGTTTAGCAAATTTTACTATTTAAAGCTTGACTCTTGGCTAGATCTATCATACGCAAAATGAAATGTTGCCATTTTCTAGACTAACATGACTAGGAACTATATTCTTAATCTGGCGTAATATTTAAAAAACAACACCAGGAAATCGGCTAACTTCCTTGAATTCCAGTTAAAATAAATATACTTCAGCAACTAAAGTAAATGTGTTATACGCTTTTCCTCACAAATGTCTCTATGGTTGCAAAACATGTAAGGTCATGTTGGTTATATTGACAAATTAACTGATTTTAAGGCACCGGGCAATGTCATTGAACCTGTTGCAGCCTTGGTACTACAACAAAGAGCCTCGATTATTACATCGAATTGAGAGTATAGATCCTTGCCATCACAGCCTTAAAAGAGCAACCTCTTATTTTATGCCTGTAACTACAGAAGAGTCAAGCTTTAAATAGGAAAATTATCAAAACTCTTTGGCCATTTTTGAGTGAGATACTAAGGGTCTAATCCAGGGGTGGGCAATCTCGGTCCTGGAGGGCCGGTGTCCTGCACAGTTTAGCTCCAACCCTATACAAACAGGCCTCCCTATAGAGTTCAAGTGATCTTGAAGACACTGATTAGTTTGTTCAGGTGTGTTTGACTAGTGTTGGAACAAAACTCTGCAGGGAAACCGGCCCTCGAGGATCAAGTTTGCCCATCCCTGGTCTAATCCAACTCAATGAATAGTTTTAAACCTACGTTCCAAAGACATAAACGTAAATATAAATTAACTGCCAAATAATTTATATCCAATCATAAAAACTACTGTACCAAGAAAAGGTTGACAACCTAAGCAAGACTCTGCAGACAAGATGTTTTACAATTTTTAAAAGGAGCAAACACTCACCTCTCCAAATCCTCCTTTCCCCAATGTCCTGAACTCATAGAAGTATTTATCAGTGATGGGCTGCTTTTCAAACTTCTTCCACTGCACAAACCTGTCAAAGAACAGGCTGGTCTGATACTCCTCGAAAGGTTGTCCTCTAAGGAACTTTTGCGTGGCTTCTTTCACTTGTCCCATCATCACCTCCTCAAAGTCTTTCTCAGAGACAGCTTTGCATTTTTCCGCCTCATCCTCTGTCAGAAAAGCCAGGAAACTTTTAGAGTCTGCTTTGCAGAATTTGTTGATGATATTCAGTCTGGCTTCTTCTTTAGCTTCTGCCTCGGCTAAATTCCAGCAATTCAACTCATCCAGAAGCTCTGCAGCAGCAAGGTACTCCGGACTGGAGACTGAAAGGAACTGTCGGAAACATGCTCTCCCGATGGGCTGCTGCTCACAGATGTCCTCAAAGCCCTTGGAAACGGATACGCGCACATCTGTGCAGTTCCCAAGATGAGGAAGACCTAGGCTACATCTTCGTTTCTTGATCTCCTTCTCGTCTAGACTCTGTGCTTTCAGGTAGTCTGTGTTGGCCACCAGGTTCTTCAGTCCACCCATGTCACTCATGGCTGTGGCGAGGTGAGGGATCCACTATATGACGCTCTGGGTTAAAATGAAGAAGGACTGAAATGTAGGCAGCGGCACAGTGGCACGTTCTGATATGCTCAGGAACAACAAGGCTTTGGTGCCAAGTCTTCTGTGTGCCACTCACGTAATTGCTCAGTCAGAATTAAAAACCTTAAACGGGATTTTCTCTTAAGTGTCTTTGTATGCTAATTCATGGATACTGCTCAAGGAAAGGAACCTAAGAGGCTTTGGACTATGTTTAGCCACAATGCTAAGAGGCAGACAATGCAATTGTTGCTTCTTAGTGCTCAGTCCTTTACTTTCAACTTGAGCTCTCAAAAGAAAAGAGTTTTTACATCGTAAAAGGTCTCTCATTGCAATCGGCTATTCGGTAGAGTGCTTAGAGTGTTATAACCTTTATGAGCAACCTCAAATTACTTTTTAATTCCCCAAATGCTGATAAACTGTGAGCCAATAGATTGTATTGCTGTTGGTATGTTGAGATTTCCAAGAATTACAGAGTATTAGAGCTCATTGTACGAGCACAATGAAGGACAAGCATGTGAGAATAATCATATATTAGATGTAAACATTATAGTAAGATGTCAGCTTGGCCACTTTTAACCCAGATTCGTGCACCATTGTTTCCAAAGAATGTATAAGGTAGATTGTTCAATAAACTGCTGCAATCCTACTACTGTAATGGTATAAATCAGTGTTTCTCAACTACACTCCTGGAGGACCAGCTCTGTACGTTTTCCATCCTTAACCAAATCACCTGAGTTAGATCATCAGTTCATTAGCAGAGACTGAAAGACCTGTAATGGGTGTAACAGACAAAGGTGATATTCAAAACATGAAGTGAAAATCCAGGAACGTGGTTAAGAAACACTCATGTAAATGACCAGGGCTGCGTCTGAAATTGCATACTTCCATACCATGTAGTACGCTAAAAACAGTATGCGCGCCGAGTAGTATGTCCGAATTCATAAGGTGCATCCCAAATCCCATACTTACGCCCTATTTTACGTCATTTTGTAGTATAAATAGTGTTAGGGTGCTTTCACACCTAGACTTTTGTTTTGGAACCTGTCTCATTTGCCCAATTAGCGCGGTTCGTTTGGCATATGTGAATACAGCAATCGCACGCAGACCCGTGCCAAAACAATCGCTCCGAGATCGCCTGAATAAGGTGGTCTCGTACCAATTGAAACAAACTCTGGAGCTTATCGATTGTAGTGAGAAAGCGATACGATCAGAGCCCGGCTATATCATGGTGTTTTATGGATATGTAATTGGCCTACGGCTATATGAGGAGAGAATTATGAGTTGGGCGGAAGGTCATCCCTGAAGTTCCGGCAGTCTCCCACAAATGCACAGAGACTCCCTGATGCCCGCAAATAAGCGATAATCTCCCGGAATTCGCAGCTCTCCCTCCCGGTCCTCAAATACGACGCACACCCTTCCCACCGCATCCCTCCTCGCTCTTCAGACACAACGCCACCAAACCACCACCCGCCCTAACAGCTGAGCAAGACTCTGCAAAAAATAAAAAAATAAATAAAAAATGTGAAACTGACTAATATGAGAAGAGTTTAGTCACACATGACTTGTTTTTAGCTATTTTGGCTCATTTAGAAACTTTACCATGTGAAAGCGAACCGCACCAAGAATGTAACAATTTTAATCTGTTTCAGAACAAGATAATGGATTAACAGTTGTGAAAGCACCCTAAGTAGTGCGTTCAAACTAAAAACTTTAATAATAATACATGCACATTAATTAATCGGATGATGCACTCTGTAAAAAGAAGTGTGGAATGTTGGACACCACGCTCTCAACGAACGCAGCTTTGCTCACGTTGCAAAAGTGGCGAAGCTTTTGGGTGCTCATGTTGGATTATTTATTTAAGATTGTGAAAGCAAAATTATCCTACGAGAGTGATTATACCGCCTCTCGATGGTGAATGCGGTTATACTCATGGCAGGTATTAGTTGGTAGTTTGGTCATTTATGTCACTAATTTGGCAACCGTCAAACATCCTCAGGCAAGCAGTTCGAATTTCCGCTAAGTAAAAAAAAAACTAGTGCTCCATTTGGGACGACACTAAATACATATACTATGCTGTTGAGTGTGTAAGTGCATAGTGTGCCATTTGGGAGAAACATGTAAAATTCGAAAAACAGTATGCAAGTACCCAGATTACCTACAACTACCAGTGAGACTTTGAAGTGTGCAGCCGATGCACGCTTCTATCCCATGATGCACCGCAAGAGAATTCACGAATGGGAGTAAAGCGAAACAACTGACACAGGTAAGTCACATGATCATGACAAATTGGCGCATGTAGTACGTCCGAGTCCATTCATACTACTTGCATTCATACTTTTCTAATGGTTGAGTAGTACGTTTAAATTCAAATGCAGTACCTACTGAGTACTATGTGATTTCAGACGCAGCCCAGATCTATTTATTGTGTTATTTTTTGTTTACAAATTAGAAATAAATCATGTAGCAATTCAGTTTTGTCAAATTTGTTTGTAGAGTAATACGTTTCGTGCTTGTCTTTACAACATGAACATTTGTTTATTCATGTTTCAATTGATAAGATAATGAGGCAGCCAAAAAGTATCCAACAAATATGAATATACATGATTTTGAATACAAGCTACAAGGTGCCTAATGTTGCTGGGCTGTAATTCTCAGTGATTTAAGCTTGTCTCAATGTCTTAAACATCATGTCAACCACCAAAATACATCTTTGTGCATCAGATTTACTCTCAATTACGCTCTCTAGAACAAAAGCCCATAATGAGAAACACTGCAGGGGGACTTTTAATACAAATTTAATTAATTGCTGTTGACTTAAAAGCAACTACGCCTTTGATTGTGAAATTGTTCTCATGGGTTTCAGGACTTATCGCAAGCTCTCAAATCCTGAGCTAATTGTTTCACTGGAATTAGCAGAGGATGGAGAAATAAGCAGGGTACTGGAGAAAGACTTACGAAATGCTTTGTCAGACAGCTCTCAGTGCTGCACAAGCCACAAGGAAAAGTTTTTTACATTATTTTTCTTTCTAGTTTTGTTCTGTAAAATATTTTATCAGATAAAATTTGTACTTTGAATTCATAAAATATGCATAATTGTTGACATAATTTCCTTTTTTTAGTGAATATTGCTCCCGTCCAGGGAGGTCTTTTTAAAGACATCTGAACAGTTGTAATGACTAATAATTGATTTAAAACAACAAGCATAATCAGAAAATGATTTTTTAAAATCACTAGTAACACACTCCTATAAACATCAGCTTTATTTATTTATTTCTAACATAATTAAAACACACACTCACAGTTAGATCAACGCACATGAAGTCACGCTCACACCCTTAAGTGAATCTTGCCGGATGTCTTCTTAATGCTGTATGAGGTGACAGAGGGATAAAGTTCTGGATTTTTGCCTCCATGGTCGCATACATGCACACGCCGAGGTTTTCTTACACACTAAGCACCTCGAGATGCTCTGAAGTCAGTCTGGTCTCCCTAAGCGGAGTAGTGCCAAAGTGGACGGAGGAGATGTGGGTAACGAAGCTTGAGTCTTCACTTGCCGATCCTCTGTACCACCCAGTCCTGTTGGCATAGTGGGCATCTATTGTTCTGCTTCACCCAGAGGGACATGCAGCAGTTGTGGAAGGAGTGGTTGCACTCTCCCCACACCACTGAGAGAAAAACACAATCAAAAAAACTGTAAATCTTTGAACTTTGATGGCAAAATAATAATAATAATAATAATTTCTGTACCATAGAAGAAAGAAATAACGGCTTGTAATTAGGGCTGCACAATATATTATTTCAGCATTGCTATCGCGACGTGATCATTCACAATAGTCACATCGCAGGATATGCAATGTTTGTATAATTTATCATTTGCCTGCGTTTTCATTCACATGATGCCTGTGATTGTATAATGATTTTCAAAGCAGTCAGGTGTATACAATTTTTTGTGACCTTAACTATGATAATTTTATTTGATTATTTTTATCATTCAGTTACTGTACTTGAATACGGTAAGACTCGGGAAACGATTGGGGAACACTTTATTTCAATTGTATCTTTTTCTTGATCGTATTTATAGATTGTTAAAAAGTTTATAGACTGTTAATTGGATTTTCTGAAGATGCACTTCCACTGCAGAATCATCCCAATGTATCAAACATAAATTTCTTCCAAATAGATATTAAGTCATCTGGTGAAATTGTATTCATATCGCAATATATACTGCAAAATAAAAAACAATCGCAATTTTAGATTTTTCCAATATTGTGCAGCCCTAGTTGAAAAGATGTGAGGGCAAATATCTGAGTAGTATTTTTGTGTCTTTTTGTGAATTTGAAGTAGCTTGTTTATTTTCATAGTATCGGCTTCATTGGCTGTTACATGGCAGATATATTTGATGACATTATTTAGACAGTAGTAACAGAATGGACCAAAATCAACCATTTTACAAAAATTTACTTAAAAAAAAAATTTATATATATATATATATATATATATATATATATATATATATATATATATATATATATATATATATATATATATATATGTGTGTCAGAATTATTAGCCCCCGTTTAAATTTTATTTCTTTTTAAAAAATTGGCCAAATGATGTTTAACAGAGCAAGGACATTTTCGCAGGACAATGACAAGGGGTCATTTGGTGTTTTCCAAGACTCAAATAAATTTTATAAACTATTTCAGTTACCATATTTAAATCAAAACCCACAGAAGATAGTTAATAGTTGCGTTAAAGAAACAACAACATACAAACAAAAAACAGATATCATCCACAGATCACTCTATGAAATTGTATTCATATCACAATATTTATAGACAAAAAAATGTAACGTGCAGCCCCTAGTATTAGTAAATAATGTATTTACAGAATATTCAAGCTTTGCATAGGAAAAGTATTACTTCTTTGGCCTTTTTTAGGGAGATGCTAATGGTCTAATCCGATTTAATGATTTATGCTAAGCTAAGCTAAAAGCGTCCTGCCAGACCTGGAGATCAGCTGAATGATTTCATAAATTGTAAAACTCAACTGTATAAATAAAAGAGAGTTGTAAAATGATTTTTTTAAAGCAAAGTGTTACTTTAGGAACAAAATAAATACAACTTTTTACTTTATACAACTTTATCTTTATATCAACCTTCAATAAAACTATAGAAGCGTGTTTCTGGTTCAAACAACACATTTTCAAAACGTTTATCCTAAAAAAAAAAAGATAGATAAATAAAAGACAACTTGCAGCTGCTATGCTGACATTTAGGTGCCTCTTTACTTTTCAACAAACATTTAATTATATATTTAATGTGTTGCTGCTTTAAATATCAAACATGAGAGCTGTCCTTTGATTGTACCAGTTGTCCAACCAACTAGTGTGATGGCAGGGTGCGTTTGATGACGCAAATGAATACTATGGATTGTGTCATCGGACATAGTACTTAACCCCAGGTTGCTTTAGTTGGATTAACCCTAATATGCATACAGTAAGTCACTTTGGACAAAAGCATGTGATAAGTGTAAAAAGTTTATTATTTACTACTAGGGATGTCAACAAGACACTTCTGAGGCATAAAAAAGAGATTAAAAGAGACTAAAGAGACTTCTGAGACTAAAAATAAATAAATAAATAAATGCATAACAGGAAAAACAATCTAAAGATGCAATTCAAAATGTTTCCAATTAATTGTATTGTAACAAATGAGACTTCAGTTCAGCTTTAAGTATGAATTATCATATGCAAAAAAACAACAGAATAATATTTAGGCAATGTACAAGGTCACCTGAACACTACTAACTCAAAAGTATTGGCTTCTCTCCAGTACAGATTCACACAAGGCTCTTCAGACCTTGAACGCTGCAGGAACTGTGAGCCTCAAACTTCTGACTGAAGCTGTGTGTGACCTTCCAACTTTTTTTTATTTTATTTTTTATTTTTATTTTTACAAATTATAAACAACAAAAACTAACAAAATTTTATTTCTCTTGTTTATTTTTTTTTTAAACACTGACTATCATAGTAGGTAAAACAATTATGGACGTCAATGGTTCCATGTTTCCAAACATTATTCTAAATATCCTCTTTTGTGTTCAACAGAAAAAAAAGAAGCTGTAACATGTTTTGTGACGAGTAAAGGGTTAGAAAAAGATGACAAGAGAGAACTTTTTTTATTTTGGAGTGAATTATCCCTTTAAGTGCAAGGAATAATTCATGATCAAAAAGCATTTTATTAATACGTATTAATACTACTATTAATATTAGTACTACTATTAATTAAAAACAAATTATTCAAGAATGATGTACAGTGCTATGCGATGTAGTGGAACACATAGCCAAAATGTTGTCAAAAGTACTGATTTTAGTACTAATTGGTACTGAAAGTGATCACAGTAACAGTGAACACAATGGCCAATAAGCAGTGTTCAAGAAAACACTCAACAGCGCTCCAAAAGCAAGCAGGAAATCCTTTTATTGTCACTTATTTAAATTTTTTTTTATTTCAGTATTGATTTGTACAGAAGATTTTTGACAACACTGTAGCCAAAACAAAGATATTAAAGAGTTTTGATTTTATTGTCATTTCACCTTCTCTGGCTATTTCAGAAAAGTAGGGGAAAAAACAGATAAAATGACAAACTTTTTATTTAAAAAAAGAAAAAAACTAGTTTCTATAATAAAAGGGTTTACAAAAATAAATATGCATTAACGACAATCAATAATAAATAAAATAATAAAAATACTTTAGAAAAAAATTTTTTTTTTGAAGTTCACATTTAAAAACAATTAATTTAAAGACTCTCCAGATGAAAAAAAAATCACTATCTAATAACATTAAAATGGGAAATTTCAATAGTATGCTTTTGCAAAATATATGGTCATGTTTAATCAAGGTTTGATATTGGGATATATTTTTGTAGCCTAATTTGCCTGCATAATGGAGTTGTTATAAATATATAGGGAAATAAAGTCACATTTGAAAGCATGCTCATGTTGTCATATAACTATTCAACCAATTCCTTCTGCATTGTGTGCAACTGTGCAAATTCTGCTGTTTGGAGCAGAACAGACACTTTGAGCTTACAATTGTACTAACCGTTATCAATTTAAACCAAATAGTTTCTAAAAAAAAATCCCTGTTACTCTGATGTCATGAGATATAGAGACATAAGACTTTTTCACCATAACAATCTCGGATTAAATCTCATCAAACACCTATTCTTTATTATTAGATTGTTTATTATACTACCTGACAAAAGTCTCATCATTGATCCTTGTTGTTAGAGCAACAAATAATAACGTTTTAACTTTTAGTTAATCATTTGGAAAAGTGGCAGAAGGTAGATTTTTCTGATGAATCAACTGTTGAACTGCATCTCAATCCATACAAATACTGCAGAACCCGCATGGACCCAAGATTCTCAAAGAAATCAGTCAAGTTTGGTGAAGGAAAAATCATGGTTTGGGGTTACATTCAGTATGGGGGCGTGCAAGAGATCAGCATAGTGGAAGACAACATCAACAGGCTGAGGTATCAAGACATTTGTGCAGCCCATTACATTACAAACCACAGGAGAGGGACAATACTTCAGCAGGATAGTGCTCCTTCTCATACTTCAGCCTCCACATCAAAGCTCCTGAAAGCAAAGAAGGTCAAAGTGCTCGAGGAATGGCCAGTCCTGTCACCAGATTTGAACATAATTGCGCATGTCTTGGGTTAGATAAAGGAGGAGGCATTGAAGATGAATCCAAACAATCTTGATGAACTCTGGGAGAACTCTGCAAAAGAGCTTTCTTTGCCATTCCAGATGACTTTATTAAGTTATTTGAGTCACTGCAGATCTCTATGACGGTATGGATGCCGTCCTTCAAGCTCAGGGGAGTCATACACAATATTAAGCCGTTATCCACTGAACCATGACTTTATATTCTACACTGTACATTATTTGTTAAGTGACAAGCTCTAAGCAAATTCAAACCTTACTGTCCTAATTAAATAACTACAAATCAAGGCATGATCATATTTTATTTGGGTAAAATAAGCGTAATAAAGAGGCTTTTGCCTCTCATATAAGCCACTTCTGATACCACATGATCAACTAGAAGTCAAGTTATTATTTTTCAAGTTATTATTTTGTATTATTATTTGTTACTTGGAAAGGGGACAAGACTTTTGTCAGGTAGTGTATATTGAGAGAAATAAAGATGAGGGAAAATATGAGTGAAGGGCAAACTGCTCTGGCAGTGAACAGTGCTGCCATCTGCTACTGGGGCTTAATGTAATTAATTAAGGCAGGTACTTAGCATGCTAGAAATGATGCTATAGTTAAAGTCCATACGAACCAGAAATTGATAAGAATTTTATTTCAGTATGATGTAGTGATGTGACGTTGTGCGCTGAGGCTTCGAAGCATATATCAAAAAAAGATACATCTCGCAGTGAAGCAGTGTACCGGAGCTTGATTCGTTTTGCCATCATCACGTGATAAGTGACTTCCGAAGCTTCATTTTCGCCTATACCCACGTGATTGCTTCGAATTTTGATTCAAAGGTTTAAACACCCTCATGGGTTAGTAAAGTGTATAGCGAGAGATTAGGCGTCGATTACATACATTTCTACTGTTTCAAAGCACTGCACCTGTCTCACACACCAGTAATTAAACTAAAATACAATAGTAATTTATAGTAAAAAGGTTTTGAACCATACTAAAGTGTATTAGTGTATTTTTTTACAACTATCTTTAAAACCACTGCATATCGTAGTATAGTGTTTAACAGAGACCAACTCTCTTTTATTTCGTCCAAATACATCACTCACATAGCCTCATTCTAGAGCATTCGCCTCCCATGCAGGAATTGCTGGTTCGATTCCCGCTTGAAACAGGATTAGCTGTAATATGATACACTTTTGAATACCTTGGATGTTACTACAGTCATCAGTGGTGTAACGTATGTATTACTACATGAATGAGTTGATCAGTTGTGAACATTTGACATTTGGCAACACAGTGCTTTCCCACACTTTAACCAGAAGAGGTCCTCATCGAGCTCTGATTTAGAAAGCTTCAAGTAACGAACTAGAGATCTGCGCGGGACTAAATTTTGAATCCCGCTACGGCCCGCACCCGCCAGGTTTTAGCCCGAACCCGACCGCTCCCGCTTATATTAAGAATTTATTGTCCCCCTGCCCGACCCGCCCCGTTTTCTGCCCGCCACGCCCGATCCCGCTAAAGAGCGGGGGAGAACAAAACCGAAAATCCCCCAGCTATACAGTCCAGACAGCCAAGCTGTCTGTATAAACACACACAGCACCAAGCACATACACACAGACAAATCTCTCTCTCTCATACGCGCGCGCGCACTAACACACACACAAGCACCAAGCAGACACACAGGCGTTTGCTGTTATATCAACACAAAGGCTTGTAATACCATGTATCAAGTACCAATGTAATTCCAAAAAGTTTTATATAAAGATATATAAATACTGAGTCGCGCCAGCTCCGGGCCGCAGCGCACATAACTCTCGGTCCGATTCCGGAAGGGATGCGGCAGCGTCGGCTCGCTTAAGGCTGCTGCATCTGGCCCGATTGATTCGGGCCGGAATCGGGCAGTGAGTCCACAAGCATCCGGAGTCCGGCAGCCGGAGCCGGGCTGAGTGGTAAGTCTCTGGCAGGCGAGAATCTAGCCGGAACTGGCCCGAGTGTATTTTGCTATCTGGGAAAGCTCTCTCTCTCTCTCTCTCTCTCATTCACGCGCGCGCACTAACATACACACACACAAGCAACAAGCACACACACAGGCAAAGCTTTCTCTCTCTCTCTCTCTCATTCGCATAGCAATATCCGCGATATTGCTAGACAGCCCGCTCCCGTCCTAAATTAAACCCGTTACCGACCGCTCCCGCGACTTATTCGGAAATTTATTCCCGCGCCGCAGAAATCTGGTCGGGTCCTGTGGCGCCCGCGGGACAGCCGCGGGAATGCAGACCTCTATAACGAACCTTTTTCCAATACAATTGAGTCGAGCACTTCACTTGTTCCGAAAGCTTCATTTTACCATCACTAGTATGATGATGTACTTCCAACTGAAACAAAATATTAAGTAGGGGTTGGGGCTTTCTTTTTGCACATTATTCCCCCATAGCAAAGTAATTGTAAGAGGGGCATGGCTAATATTATTGTTTATGAGTAAAGCAGTTAAGCTGATGTCAACAGATAAAGGCTGGCACTCCAAGCATGAAAGCAAATGGTCAGAATTACCAAAAAAAAATGTCCCCAGTGGATTAACATGCACTGATTAATCGTTCACCTAAAGATTAACAACGTGTGCGAGCACAATAAACATGGTACATTTTGATTTCACATGGGCTTTAACTTACCAACGCAGTCTTCTTGTTTGTTTTCGGCCTGACACCTCAAGCAGGCATCTGAAATGGAGTAAATCAGACATATTCAAAAACACCTGCTGGGATTTATATATTGTGCTAGAAGTAAACCAAAACTCAGAAACTAAAAATTAAATTAAAAAGAAAATAGCAACAGAGAGTTTTCTTTCTTTGGTATTGTGATGTCTGTTTTATTGTGACGTCTGTTCATTCGCACAGTTTAAAGGCAGCTAGTGAAGCATTTGCCCAATATATGACAGTGGTCTGACTGCAGACTTGGTGCAGTTGCAAGCTGAGCTGCAACAGTGACGTCACTAGCTCCATTGAGTGCATTGTGTCTGATATTGCAAAGCTGAGACATTAGGTCTGCATCCAGATACTACTGGACTGGAATTTATAAGGTCTGCCCAAACGTACACCAAACATGGTTTTATATTTGCACATTAGTTCATTTTTGAGAGTGACCTCTTCTGACCTGATCTCTATATTGTTTATTATTCTACTTTGATTGCTCAGTCTGAAACTACAAATGATATATAATATTATAAAATATGATACATTAGTACTATTTAATTGACTGGCTGCTGTGCTTAACTATTTAAAATTGGCAAAGAACGCTTTCCTGAAATTATGGATAAAATCCAAATGTGCAAATATAAAACCAACTTTAACCCAATCACTTAAAGGCTGACAAATGCCATTTTGCAGGAGTGGGTTTTAGCGAACTAAATGTCAAGAGAGAAAAAAAAAGACTGCCACCAGAGGAAAGTCAGTTTTCCTATAAGATCAAATTTTGACATTTTGGTTAGTCTAGATATTACAAAGTCTTAATTGTTCATAATAAGATTTATACAGTTTTAACTTCACAGTTGCTTTTAAACAGGACAGACTGGCTAAGATCATATGAAATCACAGTCTGACTGTGCACATTTATTATAGTCTGATTATTTACACTGACTTGACCAAATAATGTGAACTGCCTACCTAATCTCCATTTTGCTGTAAACTGTTAAACTAATCATAAACTAATGTTTTTCCCCTTCACATGTATATTTGCATAATTTATACATTATTGAACATATCTTAGACGTCATATGGATTTGAATGTAAGTTTAATATTTACATATAATGTCCATTCTATGTTTCTATTCTCGTCTGTTTTGAAGCATTAATGCATTTGCTCGTCGCATTTAAACAGTATGTCATGCATTATATGCACTTTCCAATGTTCGAGTAAACATTTATGTCATCACTTTAGGTTTCAACAAATTCTGTCTCGGTAGACAGCAGTGTGTTATATTGCTGAAAACGACTCGGTCGTGTGTCAGGCAGATATTATCAAATTCATCAGCCTCCATTCTTGGTCTGTTTATCTGAGAATGATTAGAAATGCTATCGGCTAGCCGGTTAGCTAAAAAAACACTCACCCATGACTTGAACGCGACAAATAGCGCAGGTGTCACACTCCACATCCCAGCTCCACATGGCCACCGCGTTCCACTTCTTCAGGGAAAACATTTTGTCTCCCCCTGATTTGGACCCAGAAGAACCGCTGTGAGAGTGTCCTAAACCTGGCTCATCACCGTCGTCCATCTCCGCCATGGCGAAGAGGCGTAGAAACAAAATGGCTGAGATAGGCTGGTCTGCAGACACGCAGATCGGCCTCTAGCTGGAGTTGTCTGTTAACAGGCCCCTAGCTGGATGTTTTAAAATACTGCGATGTAGAACATTTTTAATAAACACTGACGTTTTTTTAATCAATTTATTAAATTTTTCATGCATATATAATTCTCTCAATCTATCTATTATTTGAACTTTAACTATACTTAACGCATATAAACTTTCTTCTTTTCTTGAAACTATGCCCTACTTATTTTTTAAAAAAGTGGAGAATTGTACATTTTGATCATATAAATACAAACTATGTTAAAAAACTTCAGAACTTTTGTACAACTGTTATCTGTTGAATAAATTAGCCAATATGGTGTGGGTGTAAGGCAGTGATTCCCAATACAATTAAAAATAGTGTAGAAACAACCATACCCACATAAAAAAAAAATACCAAAGTGATTTATAATAAATAATATAGTGCTTTTGAATCAAAGGCTACTATTTTAGGCCTATTAATATTTATACTATAGTATTCAAAACAACTCTGTTAATGAATAGTTGAGCATAGCCGTATTAACTGATAAACTACTGTAAACCTATATAGTTTTACTAAAGAAACGTTGATATATTGTAATATAATAGCTAGAGTTGTAAAAATGTAGTGCTATTTGTTAATATTTATTAAATTGTATTTTCTAAATCTTTTAATCTTACAAAAGATTTTAAGTTTATATATTATGATTGGTATGTATCATTAGTTCTTCTATTACCATATTATTATTTTACAGCAAATAGATTGCACATTTTAATTAATATATGTCAAAAACATGTATAGCCTATATTTTTTCATAAGTTGAACTAATATATTCTTCCTTGGACTTAGAAATATGCAAAAATATAAGATTTATATATATATATATATATATATATATATATATATAAATATATATATATATATATATATATATATATATATATATATATATATATATACACACACATATATATATATATATATATATATATATATATATATATATATATATATATATAATTTTGAGTAAATCAATAAATGCAAATTCTGTCAATATACTATTTTTAAAGTTTAAATCAAGTTTCGGGCAGCTTAAAAAAAGAATAATAAATAACGATTAATGTATTTTTAAGAGTTAAATTGAGAGTGGCTAATAATTAATTAGTTGAAGCAGCTTTTTTCAGTTACTTTTTGTCTATTGCCAAATCATCTTATAAAAGATAATGACATTAGAATGTACAGATATTTAAAATAGAATTATAAAATAAAAAGCTAAGCATGTGACCCATGTCTGCTTTCTATTATATTGTATGTTTTGCAGTAAAGCACATTCACAATGCTAAATACGTTAACACTGAAATCATCATCATTCTTTCAGCATGCAACCTCGTCAAGGTTGCACTCTCAGAAAAATATAGGCCTACTACAAAAGCTGTCCCTGGAGCTCTACCGTTTCAAAAGATTCATATTTTATGGTATTATTATTTTTAAATATATAAATGCTTAAAAGATGTATGGTAAATGCACATAACATCATAAAGGGTATTTTGAATGGGCATATGCTACACTGATTGTACCCTTTTTTCTGAAAGCATACAGTATTATAATGCCGCTATATCCATGTTGAGTAAATAGAAATTTTTCTAAAGATAACAGGCTGCCTATATTAATATGTATTATCTTTTTCTTTTCATCTCTCTGTTTCATTTTACACCTCACACACAAAACCATACCATATTTGAGGAGCAGGCTACTATTAATTGATGCTGGTTTCTTGCCTGTATTGTGTGTTTTTTTTCTCTACGATTTTCTTCTACTTTATGTTCAAACTCTAAAACGTTTCGACACTGTCGAGCACTGTCGGAAAATATGTTCAGTAAATATTAATAACACTGACAGCGCCCATGAGGGGGCGATCCGCTCCACACAGAATCAAACAGCATTTTCCCCTCTTAAAGACTCTTCAACTCATGTGAGAGATCGCTGTAATGATATTTTGTTGATTTTTTTGCAGTTTCCACATTATTTAAGACGTATAGGCTAGGCTTCCACTTGGTTATCACTAAATTTCTCGTAATGATGCAGCCATGACATAAATGCACTTGATTTGATGAACACACTCAGCTTTCCAGGAGCGCGACGTGTAATTTACTGAAACCGACACCAAAAATCGGAAATTTCCTGAAAAAGAAGAATTTGGCCAAACTTTGCGTGTTTCTACCTACTTCTACTCCTGAAGTAAAGCGGTTCTCTAACTGCTTTTTCTGGAGTGAGAGATTCATGAAGACAGCAAACCGATGTCCACTGATCACACTTCTGCCAAACACTCCTCTGTCCATCAACGGATGAACGCCGACTTCGAAAAGTATCCCCGGTACTGCAAAAGGTAAGTTGTGTTTATTGGAGATTATGGTGTGCCTGCACAATTAATTTAATATATAAATGTAAAAACGTAGCCTATAATCAAATGACTCAAAGTAATAAGACATTCCTACTAATTACCTTATGTTTTAGTTCCATTTGCTGTAATTTCTTTCTTTGGTTTAGAAAAGAAAGCACCTTGTCTCTTTGACAAACTCTTACTTGTTGCATTGCCTTAATAATTGATCTTAAAAATGCATATTAAAATTGATATATAGAAAAGTCTCATATACACTGACATCCAGTAGTGGAAAAAATCATACTTAAGCAAAAGTACCATTATTTGCCTAAATATGTAGTGCAAGTACTGTAAGTATCTATTGTAAATATTATTTAAAGTATGAGCAGAATAGACCTTTCAAAAATACTCAACAGTAGTAAGTATTCTGCTGTAAAAAGCTGATGCATTTAGATGTAATTTGTGGATGTGTGTAAACGTAACATTCTGTAGTGCTATTAGTTATTGCTCAGCATGCACACGAGACGTTAATATTAGTTTAGATTTAGCTTGTGATGTGAAGTGACCAAAATTCAATGTCTAGCCAGTGTCATATGACATTGATTTGGTTTATTTTAGGTTGTGTAAGAAAGTGACCAAAATCCAGTGTCAAGCCAACATCTTAAACCAACACCATATTGAGGTCAAATGCTGACATTTATTTGTCAGGTGTGGCAACCAAAATCCAACATGTGGGCCCATCTGGGCTGGCCCACGTGGGGCTCAACTGGAATGGCCCGTGTGGGGCCCACTTGGGGCTATACGAAATATACCCCCAACAGCCGTTACAAGCATAGGGAGGAAAATAACCTTTAATGATTGAATACATAACAAACATTAGAAAAATCAAAATAAAATAAAAAGTTTAGCCTATTAAAATCAAAAGTGTGTTAATTTTACTTGAAAATTTTCAGCGATTTCTCAGCATACCACTAGAAAGAAGCCTGCGTACCACAGTTTGAGAACCATTGCATGTTAAGATTTTGGACATTTACCTGGACACTTTTAATGCTTCTTGTTTGCTGCAATTATAAAGCACCTATTGAGGTAATTCATTATGATGTAATTTACCTTCTTAGTGTGATTTGACAGGAATTACAGGACTGATTTTTCTAATCCCCATAGACAAGAAAAAATAAAGTATTGAATGCAGGTTAAAGGAAAGTAATGGAGTAAATGTACCAATACTGCACTAAAAACATACTCGAGGGAAAGTAAAAGTACACTGTTTTAAAACTACTTATCAAATGACAATTTCTGAGAAAAACTACTCAATTACAGTATTTCTACTGTAAATCTAATCTTTACACCCCGGCTGACATCTAAACTATCAAATGCTATTTTCAGTCAAACGTTTCGTAAACAGGATCAGTTTAAGATATTTACTTCTCTTTTATTCTTGAACCCTAATACTAGACATCTGATATCAAGCTTTGTTCGTGTCTTTTAGGGTCCAATTTGCACTAAGCACGTTAAGACAGCTTGGGCCATGGATTTAAATGAAGAAGTGGCTGATGAGATCTGACAAGAAGCCCTGTCGAGAATAAAAAAGCTTCAATAAATTAATTCAATTTAAGTTTTACATCGCCTTAATTTCTCTAAAACTTGATTAAGTAAAATCTTCTAAATGTGACAGATGTGGTGAGGCAAAGGGGACTTTGGCACATTTATTTTGGTTTTGTCCTGTTCTTTATGAGTTTTGGTCCAGCCTTTTTGAATTGTTTTCCAGTACTTATGGAACTAGTATCCAACCTGACTACAATTTGCCTATTTCTTGATATTCTAATATAATGGACACTTTTCCTTCAAGCCCTGATGGTTGGCATGATTACAGCTAAAAAGATGATCTTACTTAATTGGAGATGTCCAAAGGCTCCCTGTTTTCAGAGATGGTTGAATGAGCTGCTTTATGTCATTCAAATGGAACAACTACGTCTTGAAACTTCACAGAAAAAAGATGAAACCACATGGGGACCTATTTTAAGACTCTTGAAAATGTAGCATTTTACCTTTGTAAATTTTCATCTGTAACCCATATATTCATGACACTGACTTTGTAAAAATGTGAATACTGTCATCCTTTTAAAAAAAAAAATGTTTATGCACCATATGTCATAGCCTATATATGTTTATTTGGTAATTGAGACGATCACTCCTTTTTGTTTAGTTTTTTTGGGGTGAGGGGGCTAATGTCAATTATTTTGTATTATTTTTTTCTTCTTTTCATTGGTATTGTACTGTTTTTGTTAAATATCTTATCAAAAATGTTAAATAAATCAAAATATTACAAGATATTTACTTCAGCATTTGAGGTATTAGCCTTTTAGACATTTGAGGTCTGTATTTACCCATTGGTCATTTTTGGAAATAAAATGAATGTTTGTTTTATAAAAAAATGAAATGTAAATACCCAAAATTGAATTGTATCTAAGATTTTACAATAGTTAGATGCTCCTTGGCTATTAAAAATCTAAGACAGCATTAGTGTGGGAGGGCTCATCAATCTCTGATTCAGTACTGTCATTGCTACAGAAACAAAGCAATTATTTAAAAATAAATTAGGCCTTTACACTTTTCCTGACATATACATCTGTTTCTGTCTTTTTAAACAACTTTTTGAACTAGCCTAAATATCAGATGTTACGCAAAGAATGCTTTTTCAAAATTAGTTTGCATGTTGGATAAAAACTCCATTTTCATGATTTTAAATATAATCAGAAAGATAGATTATGAGCATATAATATACATTTGTGTATAATGTTCAGTTTGATTGAGCATTAAACTTCAAGCATTGCTTATTGCACATTTAATCTCTGAACTGGCATAATACAACAGCAACCAAATAATAAAAGTAGCTTGATTCACTTCTATCTTTTTCAGATAAAACTGACGACAATGTTATCACCAATCTCTTGAAATATCAGTTTAAATACGGCAGGGAAAATAAGTATTGAACATGTCATGTTTTTTTCCTGGGAACTATATTTCTAAAGGAGCTGTTAACATGGAATTGAACCAGATTTTGGTAAAAATACAAACAATACAAATATAAAAATAAAACATTTTTTTATTTTGAAAAATTAGTTATGTGTAATAACAATAGAATGACACAAGGAGTAAGTCCTGAACTGAATATTAAAACTGAAATGTATTTAATACTTTATATAAAAGACTTTTTGGGGACTGCAGCTTAAAGTCACCTCTCATATTGAGAATGAAGTCACTTGAATTGCTTTAGTGTGAGTTTTTCACAGACTTCAACAGACTGTCAAAATCTTGATGGTTCTGTGGGTCTAAACAAAGTTGTGTTGTATATTGGGTTCAAGTCAGGTGATTGGCTGGGCCATTCCACAGCTTGATTTTTTTTCTCTTAAACCATTCGAGAGTTTAGGTTGTGTTTTGGATCATTGTCTTGTTGAAATGTCCACCCTGGTTTCATCTTCATCAGTTTGCTAATGATGGACTGAAGCAACAAATGTTAGTTTACAATGACAAAGGACAGAGGGTCGCTGAAGAACTACTGAGAGATTTCAGCTGCTGTCTGGGCTTTCACTGCCTTTCTACACCTCCTCTTCTTCATTTGTTCAATGCTTTTCCCCTACGTCATTTCATTTTACTACACATAACTTCATTTGTAAACTAATTATGTTTGTTTTCTTTGCGTATATGGATTCTTTTGCTATCAACATCTGGTGAAAATTTCAAGTCAACAGCACCTTTAGAAATAGTTTTCTGAGAAACATGGAGACGTGTTCAATACTTCAATAGCATTAAAATTAATATGGGGATCAATGCAATAGAAATGACTTATTAAAGCTGGATGACCCAAGCATAATTGAGTTGTTTTTCTGCCAATTTTGCTAGGGATAATCAATAGGAATTATTTTCAATAGGAATTCATGTAATCAAATTTGCTTCAAAAACTGGTTCTCTGATTTGGTTTGTCTTTGTTGGAATAGGTGGAGCAATGATGACATTCACAGGCATGCACTGGCTAAAAGCCGTCGCATGGCTATGCGAAGACCGGCTCACATGTTTAATGCCCGTTACAACAATCTATCCCCAACTGAAGAGCGTTTCCTAGAAGCAGCCGAATATGGAAATATCCCTGTCATCCGTAGGATGCTAGAAGAACTCCCAGAACTTAATGTCAACTGTGTGGACTACATGGGCCAGAATGCATTGCAACTCGCAGTTGCCAATGAGCACCTTGAAGTGACAGAACTCTTGCTGAAGAAGGAGAACCTGGCCCGCATAGGTGATGCTCTGCTTTTAGCCATAAGCAAAGGCTACATTCGTATTGTGGAGGCCATTTTGAGCCACCAGGCCTTTGCTGACACAACCAAACTCACCAGCAGCCCCCTTCAGGCAGAGACTCAAGATGACTTCTTTGCCTATGACGAGGACGGTACTCGGTTTTCCCATGATATCACACCCATTATATTAGCTTCTCATTGCCACGAATACGAGATTGTGCACATTCTCCTAAGGAAGGGTGCCTGCATTGCGCGCCCACATGACTACTTCTGCAAATGCAACGGCTGTCTTTATCACCAGAGGCATGACTCTTTTAGCCACTCACGCTCCAGAATCAATGCCTACAAGGGGCTGGCAAGTCCAGCTTACCTGTCCCTGTCCAGCGAGGACCCAGTACTAACGGCTCTGGAGCTCAGCAATGAACTGGCTGTACTTGCCAACATAGAAAAAGAGTTTAAGGTAAGCATGAGAATTGATTGGTTGAGAAGATGGAGATCATTTATTAGTTAATAGAACTAGTTACACTAGTTAATAGTGTTGCCAGATTGGGTGTTTTCTCATCCAGTTTGGCGCTTTTGAATTTGATTGTGGGTGTAAAAAATTAATTAGGCGGGTTGACAAAATTTGGGTGGGTTTGGGATTAGTTTGGCAGTTTTATAGGCTTTTTTTTTTTAACAAAACCCATGTGTTTGAACCTACTCCAGTCAGGTAATTGTGAAACACCCCCACTCTTGTGTTTGTTCATGGGGCCTTGTTGATGAGGGTACGATGTTGGGGCAGTTTGAATATATTAATAATATATTATAATATATTAATAATTCATTCATTCATTTTCTTGTCGGCTTAGTCCCTTTATTAATCCGGGGTCGCCACAGCGACCTTCTTGCTGTGAGGCGAACGTGCTACCCACTGCGCCACTGCCTCGCAATTTCTATTAATTATTATTATTAATAATAGTAATAATATATATATAATATATATATATATATATATAATATATATATATATAACATAAATGATGTTAATGATAATAACTAGCTAGATAGATGGATATAAATAATTTAAATACAAATAATTTAAAATCAAATAGTTTATAAACTATCAAGAAATCATCTTTACACTATTTAAATCGACACAAACAGGTAGTGAAACTTACACAAATATGTGAAGTTAGGGTTCTGTCACTGATTTGTGTCAGTCGCTAGCAATTGTTTGTAAATTGTGGCAGTGATTGATTTCTAAATTCGGATTAAATTAAAACAGAATTACTAATCAAATATTTTTTCATTCATTGATTTTCTTTTCGGCTAGTCCCTTTATTAATCTGGGGTCACCACAGCTAAATGAACCGCCAACATATAATCTAGCATATGTTCTATGCAGCGGATGCCCTTCCAGCCACAACCCAACTCTGGGAAACACTCATACACTCTTGCATTCACACACATACAAATATTACACATACACTTACAGTACAGCTAATCCAATTCACCTGTACCGCATGTCTTTGGACTGTGGGGGAAAAAGGAGCACCCGGAGTTAACCTCTGCAAACACAGGGAGAAAATGCAAAGTCCACACAGAAATGCCAACTTCCACCCGGGGCTCGAACCAGAGACCTTCTTGCTGTGAGGCAATTGTGCTACCCACCCTGGGCCTAATCAAATGTTTTGGGTGTTTTTTTTTTTTTGTGCATATGGTATTTTTTAGTCCATATGTTTTTTTTTTTTTTTTGCCCAAACGTGGTCCTTAAGAACCAGTGTCCTGCAAAGTTTAGTTCTAACCCCCCAGTAAGACACACCTGAACTAGCTAATTAAGCTATTTCTAGGTATACTCAAAACTTCCAGGCAGGTGTGTTGAAGGAAGATGAAGCTTAACTATGCAGGACAACAGCCCTCCAGGACTGAATTTGGGCTCCCCTGATAAAGGGAATCAGCAAAATTAGACAGAAAATTAATCATTTAGATTCGGCTAATGAGTTAAAAAGTTGTGATTCAGTGCTTTTTTTTTTTATTAAACTTTTTTTATACAGAGTGCATATGGCTGTGGGTGTACAGCCTTGCCTGGTAGTTGATGAGTCTGCAGCCTTTGCCATCGAGTGGGTGGCTTAGCTCTTCTTGCTTATATTATTATTGACAGGTTTAAGGTTTTATATGAGGATTTATTCTCTAACAGATGGTAAGACTATTTTCTATGAATCAAGAAAAAAAAGTATCTGCTGGGACTTGTGCATTACCATGTCAATTACATTTCCAAGCCTTCAGGAAAATATAGGAAATTCTATAAGAATTGTTTTTGGAACTTTACAATATCTTTCATTAAAGGAGCGCTACTGTACTTTTTTCATTAATGAACACCCCTCGAGTTGAGTTTTACCATTTTTTAATTCATTCTGCCGATCTCAGGATCTTGCAATAGCACATTTAGCTTAGCTTAGCTTAGCATAAATAATGGAATCACATTAGACTATTAGCATTTCCCTCAAACACAATTCAAAAAAGATTATAGTTTTTATAATTTTATAATATAATTATAATATAATTTTCCTATTTAAAGCTTGACTTTTCTGTAGTTACATCGTTTATAATGAAAAGGTCATATTTTCTAGGCTGATGTGGCTAGGAACTATACTCTCATTCTGGTGTGATCATCAAGGAACATTGCTGCCATACCAAAGCTGCATCAGGCACAATATTGCACAGCGCTGTTACCTACAGTAGTTACATCCTGGGGTCTATTTTCAGGTGCTAATATCACAGCCCACCCAACGCTCCTTTGTCATATTTAACAGTTTGTCAGATCAATATTATATTTATTAACTAGTTAAAATTAGTCAAGTATACACTTTCCCATTGAAGGTTATGATTTAAAAACATATTAAAAATGTAATACTGTAAATTAATATTGTATGTTTTCAAGTGGGTTCAGAAGCTTTTCCTCTGTCTTAGACTTGGATCACAAAATGCTTCAGCCCATGACAGATGGCAGCTAAAGCCAGTCTTGTGATTGACCGCTCACCTGTGGGATTTGTTTGCAGGCAATGTGAGAAATAAGCTCAGAGAAATCCCTGGAAAAGTTTTATTTTATGTTTTATTATCTTGATGCACACGATTGATGTGGTGTTGATTTAATTTTCATTTTGGATGAGTGCTTTACGATTTGGAAGTTCATATTCATTACAGCCTCTGTAAACCCATAACGCACTCATGCAGAAGAGTCAAGCTTTATATAGGAAAATGATCAGAACCCATTTTTTTCAAAATTTTGAGTGAGATGCTAATGGTCTAATCCGATTCAATGCTAATCTAAGCTAAAAGTGCACTCAGCTGATTGGTTGAATAGATTCAAAAATGGCAGAACTCACTGTTTAGCTGGAGTGTTCTTTTAAGGTAGTAAGCGAGTGGTGCTCAAATTGCCGTTTGATACAGCCCAACATTCTGGGTCTTTGGTACAACAATAAAGGCTGATTGGGATGTTTTGCGGTAGTGTGTTTTCGAGGGCTGCTTTAAAACAATTTCAATAGCTTCTGATGGTTATGTTTATGGGTGGGACTTTTATGGGTGACATTTTAATTTATTTATTATTTATTCACCATTGTGTAAAATAGTGAAGTTTAACTAAGGGCCAGGAAGTTTACTCATAAAGTTCTTAGTATCTGGCCTCCATTAAATTCACTCTTTCTATTCGCACTGCTTATCATAAGATTTGATTTGACATATCACATGACGTGATCATGCTAAGAAGTACCTAAAGGCCACAGTTTCTTGCATCAGTTGCTTGAGAGAATAAAGAGGCCAGAGGCGTGAGATTTACCTACACATCTGTTAAAACTGACCCTTTTTATACAGGCTAATATTAATTACAGCAACATTAAACTGATGCATGACTTGAGATATGGGTAGCACTGTCACCTCACAGCAAGAAGGTTGCTGGTTCGAGCCTCAGCTGGGTCAGTTGGCATTTCTGTGTGGAGTTTGTATGTTCTCCCCCTGTTGGTGTGGGTTTTCTCTGGGGGGTTTCCCCCACAGCCCAAAGACATGCGCTATAGGTGGATTGGGTAAACTAAATTGTCCGTAGTGTATGTGTGTGAATGTGATTGTATAGTGTTTCCCAGTGGTGGGCTGCAGCTGGAAGGGGATCCAATGCATAAAACATATTCTGGATAAGTTGGTGGTTCATTCCGCTGTGGCAACCCCAGATTAATAAAGGGACTAAGCCGAAAAGAAAAAAAAATGAATGAATGAATGAATGAACTGTAGCACATGTGGTTAAAGGATTTCTATTAAATACGAAATAGAGATGTTTTAAAGAAAGACAAAAACCTGTAACTATTGACTTTCATAGTATTTGTTTGTTCTACTACTGCATGTTTGTTATTGGTTTCAGCTTGCTTTGAAATATTTACTGTTGTTGGCGCCAGTAGCTTAGTGGTTCTGTGCACTGACATAGCACAGATGTGCTCACGGCGACCCGAGTTCAATTCCCGCCTTGAGGTCCTTTGCTGATCCTTCCCCTCCCTCTGCTCCAAATGCTTTCCTGTCTGAAATCTCTACTGTCCTATAATAATAAAAAAGTTGAAAAACCCCTAAAAAATAATTATTAAATAAATGTCTACTTTTTTGTTCAACAGAAGAAAGTAACTCAAACATGTTTGGAACAAGTCATTTTTTAGGTTAACTCTTCCTTTAAGTTTAATCCCCCTATATGTTTTTTAAATCATTAACTTGTGAGTATAAACAACAGTGATTCTTACTGGTGCCGTGTCGCTTTTAGAGACTGAAATCCACCCGAATCAAGTTTGAAACTTCAAGCTCAGTGAATTTCAGACTTCACTCCAGGTGGACTTTTTTCAGCTCAATGACAATTTGAAGTCACAGAGTTGATGTCACATAATTCTCAACAATTTGGTGCCGTGACCCGGATAACCTGGAGACTCCTTTCAAGCTGAATTTGATATTAAACATGCTGGGTTCTAAAATCTCCTACATTACCAGTAATATATTTTCTGTGGAAAATTAAGATATTTTGAACTAGAGGATTAGTATTGTTAATACCAGTGCTGTATTTGTAGTGTTACTATGTGAAAGGTTGGATTCTTGTACTGGTTTAGTTTAACACTGAGAAAACGTTATTTGTTGGTATATTTTAAACATATCTATGCTAACTTTCATTTACAGAATGATTATAAGACGCTGTCTATGCAATGTAAGGATTTTGTAGTTGGACTTCTGGATCTGTGTCGCAATACAGAGGAAGTGGAAGCCATTTTAAACGGAGACACAGAGGCGGGGGGCCACTTTGACAAGGGTGACAGACCTAATCTAGTTCGATTAAAGCTAGCCATCAAATACGAGCTGAAAAAGGTGAGTTTCTTTCATAATAAATATTCAAATCGCAGGAAATGTTTTCAGTGACTGATACAGCTATTAGGTAAATTGATTCAGCTAAGTAGCCTCAGGTCCTGAAATACAAAGATCTCATTACTCTGCAGGATGGTACAGTAATATAAACACATCTGTTTGCTGTATCTCTGCCTGCTTCCCACACAGTTTGTAGCCCATCCAAACTGCCAACAGCAGCTTTTGTCCATATGGTATGAGAATCTGTCTGGGCTCAGGCAGCAGACCACGGCGGTCAAGTTACTGGTGGTTCTGGGGGTGGTGGTTGGACTTCCCATCCTGGCCCTACTGTACTGGATAGCACCCTCAAGCAAGGTCAGCCTTTAGTCAACACAACGGCCTTGAATATCTGTGTACAAGTATGAAAAAAACACTCTAGTGATTATGCTTGCATGCAACCAAGTCATCCGTTAGTAATCAGAGTGAAAACACTGCAAAAATGATTTTCTTACTTAGTTTTTGTCTTGTTTCTAGTCCAAATGTCTAAAAATTCTTAAACCAATAAGCATTTTCTAGACAAGCAAAAACTGTTGCCTTAATTTTTAAAAATAGGATGTCATAATTAAGTGAGTTTTTCCTTAAAACAAGCTAAATAATCTGCTAATAGGGTAAAAAAAAAATTTTTTGTTACGTAATCTAACTGCATGGATCCACACAGCAAGCCAGAAAGCATATGCAACAAAGAAAAAACTCACTACTTAAAATAAGATTGTTTTTGTATTATTGTTTAATAATTTAAGGAAATACATAACAATCTTATATCAAAGTGAAAACAAGATTATTTTTCTTACTCCATTTGCTGATTATTTTGGTTGTTTTAAGTAAAAACTCACTTAATTTTGACTTATTATTTCTTAAAACAAGACAGTATTTTTGCTTGTCTAGAAAATGCTTCTAGGGTTAAAGGGGTGGTCCATTACGATATCATATTTTAAACTTTAGTTGATGTGCAATGTAGCTGTGTAAACGTAAACAACCTCTCTTAATGTAATACGCGTAAAGTTCAATACATACAGTTAATGAGACCACTTCAGGTTATGCACATACACCCTGTGCAGTGAAGGAGCATGGCCAGAGGCCCTAATGTTATAGCAGAGGAAGCTAAAAATGGCGTCCAAACACAGCTATTTCCACTTAGCTTGTCCTGTTTTTTGTATTTGGGCTTTCATAGGACACGGCACAAAGAGAGAAGTGCTTTAAGTTTAATTATGTTCCAGAGAATTATAAAAAGATATAGCTCTAGCATTTAACAAAGACACCTTCCAGAATTTCTCCCAATTCAGTGCTGGGTTTGGCAAAAAAAACTCCAAGAAGGAGCAGCTCCAACCATAATAGACAAAGCTGTGGACTGTGAATCACAACCTTTAAGTGTTTTTATTTGTTAAAATGGATCTATTACATGCATAGTTTCTAGCGTTAACAGTACGTTGTAGCAAGGACGTAAACAAGGATGTAAACAATGGGAAATGCTGTTTGGCGCCATAAACAATTTAGCTACATATTTATCTGTAAAATCGCCGTACACACCCACAATCTTCACCGGCATTGCAGTGTCTCTCTATGCAGCTGCTTTCCCTGTGTTCTACATATCAAATAACAAACTCATAAAATATATGTGAACGTTTCATAGAACTTACCCATGCTTATAACCCGAATATATGTGGAAAAACACTTGTCAGGCTTTATTTTAGAGAGCAGGCATGAGGTTCAGATCTGTCCTCTTCGTTGTCAGTCTGATTCAGGCTCAAACCGATATGGCTAACAGCTACTTTGACTGACAGTATTTACACAGCCGAGGCACAGCGCAGGTGTGATGCTTTTCTTAGTGACGTGGAGCCGATCCGTAAATCACAACACATTATGTTAGGTGACCAATCAGAGCCTCATGAGGGCGGGCCTTTTCGAAGGAACTAGGAAATATGACAGTCATTTTCAAGTTAGCTGAGTAGCTGTATATAATCAAGGTAAGATATATGTAAAAAATACCGTGATTTTTTACAATTGAAGTGTGAGCACACATTGCTTTGCATCTTACAAACTCAACCAAGCCTTAAAAATGCATCCTGGACCAACTGTTTTAGAATTTTTTTGATATAGGCCAAAACTTTTAGTGGGATTTTTTTTTTTTTTGCAGTGTAAACATTTATGTAAACAGCTGGAAATAGACACTTTTACTGTTTGATAAATATACGCACTGTGAAACAAAGTTTCACAAATGCTCAGTGTAAGGGATGAAAATTAAAAATTGAAATTCTATTGTCATTTACTCACCTTTTATTTGTTTCAAACCTTTATGACTTTCTATCTTCTATTAAACACAAAAGATGCTGAAGACATGTAATTACTGGCATCCATAGTATTTGTTTTTCCTACTATGGAGGTCAATTGTTACAGATTTTCAGCTTTCTTTAAAAATGTTTTGTTTTGTATGCAAGAGAAAATGGAAACTCAAAAAGGTTTGGATCCACTTAAGGGTGATCAAATAATGTTTACAGTTTTATTTTTGGGTGATTTAACCCTTTAATGTGCTTGCTGTCTCCTACTTAAATAAGATTTATAATAGAAACAGTGGGAAACAAGTACAGTGACATATAAATGTAAATGATCTCGATAACTTAATTTAGTGTTCATGTAAACGCTAAATTCATCATTTTATTCCAATTAAAATGAAATATGTGCATGCAGCCAATTTTGCATAGGAATTATAATAATGAACTCTGCTGCTTTTGACTTTTGATTGCTTCAACAATGCTAATATTATTTAGCAAAAAGGTTTTGTGTAATGTTTTTGCAATTCCAGTTGGGGAAGATCATCCGTGGTCCCTTCCTTAAATTTGTGGCACATGCAGCGTCTTTCACGATCTTTCTTGGCCTTCTCATCATGAACGCCGCTGACCGTTTTGAAGGAACTTCTCTTTTACCAAACATGACCATCCATGATCATCCATCCCAGTTGTTCCGCATGAAGACCACCCCTTTTACCTGGATGGAAATGCTGATCATTTCCTGGGTTGTAGGTCAGACATCATCTCTCACTGTTTTAAACAACAAATATTTAGATTTTCTATATCAAATCCAATACTCTCAAATCATACTTCAGCCAAAACTCGAAGTTCTGTCATCATTTACTTGGTCCAAACCTTTGAGAATTTCTTTATTCCTAATAAACACAAAAGAAGATATTTTGAAAAATGTTGGAAACATGTAACTATATACTTTAATAGTATCTGTTTTACCTACTATGGAAGTCAATGCTTGCAGGTTTTAACTTTCTTCAAATATGTCTTTCTGTAATCATTTACTCAATCTTTACTTGTTTCAAACCTTTATGAGTTTCTTCTGTTAAACACAAAAGAAGATATAAAAAAAAATAGTTGGAAACCTCTAACCATTGACTTCTATAGTATTTGTTTTTCCCATTATGGAAGTTAATGGTTGCAGGTTTTTAGCTTTCTTTAAATTCAACAGTGTTCAACAGAATAAAGAAACTCAAAGCACTTGACAAAAGGAGAAATTTTGTAGAATGATCACGTTGCTCATTTTCTCATAAAAATTGGTGACTGTTTACTGAAAATCAGAAGGTTTTAATGTGTTTCAGCTATTAATTTATGCAACATCATTGCTGGAAGGACTTTCCACACATGAGCTTTACATGTTAAAATCACTTGTGGACACAATTGAAATTTAGATGTGTTTAGAAACATTTGGGATAAAAAAGGTGATAATGTAATAACTTTTTTTTTTTAATGTTCCGAAACCATTTTTTATATTGGTGTTTCAAATTATTTTGAATATGTCGAACTCATACGATGCTCATGTGGTTTTTCCGTATGCAACATAGGCTCATTCTGAAAATGTAGCACTATATACATTTCTAGAGACCGCAAGTTATGTAGCCAGAAGTACATTTGGATGCATTTTATTTTTAAAACAAACGGAATGGGGCAGTATGATGGCCTTTCTCTTCACGCTTACCAGTTGACCACTCACCTCTGTATGGACAGCTTTTCCCGCTGTTAGCAGTTTGTCCCGTTAGCTCAACATGTATGTCAGCAGACTTGAGATGCAGCGAGTAGTTGACCATGATGACGGGGTTCGAGTCTAGTAAAGAAAGGTTCCAGAAAGTGGGTTAGACAAAAATAGAATAAAAAAAAATAAAATAAACAAATAAATAACAGAGTGAGAATGTGGTACAATCAGACAACGTGGTAAAAATCAGGTGAGGGCTTTTCTTTTTCTCAATTGCTTTTCAAAACTATTGTCTGGGTTTAGGGAAGTGGGTGGGTAAGTCAATTGGTGCTGTTGAAAACACTATCGGTTGGGTTTAGGGAAGAAGAAGGGTGGGTCAGTTGATTGGTTAGTCAGTCAGTCAGTCGGCAGTGGCCTCTTGTGGATTTACAGTACGTGAGAACAGCAGGTGCGAATGGCAAGAGAAATTTGAGATCTCAAAAAGCGTACACAGCGGCCTCTGGTGGATTCGCGAAAACAAAAACAACAAAAAAATGTACCTCCTGGAATGTATTTGGTGCTTTCCAGAAATGTATATAGGGCTACACTTTCAGAATGAGCCTGGGTTGTCTGTATGGTATAAAAATGCTAACTTTTTTATGTTTTATTTTTTTCTGAACAAATCTCGTAAAAATTATGTAGATGTTCGGTCTTCTTGACGAGGTCATTTTCAGAATACAGGACTGTAATTTGTACTCAAGTTACTAAGAGATGGAAACATCATATATTGGACTACCAAACACAGAAATTTGACTTGGTTGTTTCATGAATCGGTATCATTTGGACTATCTAATAATCTATATGTGAAACATTTCTCACGTAAATGTGTGAAGAGTATTTTAAGGGGATAGATCACCCAAAAATACAAATTCACTCACCATTTACTTACCCTTGTGTGATTCCAAGCTTTTGTGTTTCTTTCTTCTATTAAACATTAAATATATTCTGATGAATGTTGAAAATTGCTAAATGTTTAAAAAAAATAACTCAAAAATGTTTGGAACAAATGAAGGGTGAACAAATGCTGGCAGAAATTTATTTTAAGATGAACCAACCCTTTAAGCAAAAAGGATAAAACACAATGGATCGGTCCTTATGACCAGTACATGTGGGTTTGGAATGACATGAGGGTGAGTAAATGATGACACATTAGACATCAAGCTTCAGGAACGTTCCCACAATGATGTACTAAAATGAATTCCAAATGACTGTTCTGAACACACACTGATTCACAGAAGGGTCAGGACTTTTCAAACTGTCTAACATCTGTCACATCACAATCTAATACACATATTAGTAAAAATGATCAGTAATAGCAATATTATTCATCTAGAAAATAACACTAAAATGTTTTGTATTAAACATTATGCAAAAATCACTTTTATAAGGAGGTTAAACACAGTTGTGTGGCAAAAGTCTGGCAATATAACCAGCTTCTAATGGTAAACATATATTCATTTTCTAGAAACACTTTGACTTACATTCTCTTTTTCTAAGTGTCATCAGAAGGGGAAAGCCCCGCCCATTAGTGACAACCTGTCCCTCATTAGCATAGGACATTAGTCTCGTTTTTGAATCCGCCACTATGCTGACACATAGGCATCTGTAGCTCCGCCCTCTTTTAAAAAGAGCACAATCTCATTTGAATTTAAAGCCACAGTCACCAAAATGGCACAATTAGGATCAAAGCCTAAAAGGGGGAGGTTCAAAGAGTTATAAAACATTGTTTATAGGCTATTTTGAGCTGAGAATTCACATACACACTCTAGAGACATCAGAGATTTATTTTACACCTTGTAAAAAGGGGCATAATGTTAATTTTTAAGACACCAAATGAATTGAAATGCAAGAATAATTTATAATGAATCTCTAAATATCTTTCACTTTCTTCTTCCGCTTATAGGAATGATTTGGGCTGAATGTAAAGAAATTTGGTCTCTTGGTCCTCGGGAATATCTACTGGAGCCTTGGAATTTGCTGGATTTTGGAATGCTGGCCATTTTCGTGACTTCGTTCATTGCTAGATTTATGGCATTTTATCATGCAAATGTTGCACAGAACTATGTGGATAAGCGCTACACGGATCTGTCAAACATTACGTTGCCCCTTGAGATTGAATACTATCGCCTCGGTAAGTGCTGCTTTCAATCGTGATTAAAGAAATAATGCTTCACGCGATTAATAATCACTTTGTTTTGACATTGAATAAAACTGTTACAAAGTAAATTAGAAAATGAAAGAATGTTGTGGAAAAATTCTAATTTGTTAGCAAAATTTGTGGCACATACAGAGTTTTTCACCATTTCTTATGTTTATTTTTAGAAATAATAATTATAATATGAAGGTTGTCACAAAAAATAAAATAATATGTTGCTTCGGAGGAATGTATGTAGTAATGTTGCGATATGTATGTATTGTGATATGTTTAATAATCAATTGGTCAGTGTACATATTTTTTTTATTTCTCACTAATACATTCTTCCTGTTGGCCGACTAATCACAGAATGAGTTAGTTCGGCGATGCGGTGGCGCAGTGGGTAGCACGACTGCCTCACAGCAAGAAGGTCGCTGGTTTGAGCCTCGGCTGGGTCAGTTGGCATTTCTGTGTGGAGTTTGCATGTTCTCCCCGTGTTCGTGTGGGTTTCTTCCGGGTGATCCGGTTTCCCCCACAAGTCCAAAGACATGTGGTACAGGTGAATTGGGTATGCTAAAAATTGACCGTAATGTATGTGTGTGAATGAGAGTGTATGGGTGTTTCCCAGTGATGGGTTGCAGCTGGTAGGGCATCCGCTGCGTAAAACATATGCCGGATAAGTTGGTGGTTCATTCCGCTGTGGCGACCCCGGATTAATAAAGAGACTAAGCCGAAAAGAAAATGAGTGACTGAATGAGAAAGAAGTCCCTTTAGGAAATGTGGACTTATATTTGTGTCGATTAAAATTCTGATCACAAAGACACAAACAGGCTGAGATTTTTCATGAAACATACACTTAGTTGAAAGACTAATGAATTATAAAACCTATGCGAATAAAATCTGTCTTACAATTACTCTTATCACTAGAAAAAAGATACTGCATTTCTGAAAAGTGCTTCACACAGGTGAGTGGGATTGACAAACCACCTGTAGAAACACTTTTCTCTCGATATGCACCGTGTATTTACTTAAACTTCATTTTGCAAGGACTCAATAAGGAAAACAATGTTTACATGGGAATGTACCACAAATTACGGTGGACTACTTGTTTTTTTTAACCTTAAATACCTTGCATAATATTGTTCTGTTTATGTAAATGTATTTGTATTGTCTGTCTTATGTGTATAGTATAAGTATTTATAGTATATATATTTAGTTAGCAGTTAGTATAGATAGATTATCGCTCTGTCATGTATAGGTTTAAAATAGCTCTTACGTCCAGTGTTGTTTTAGTATTCATGATTATGTTTATTTATGTCGCACCATGGTCCTGCAAGACTCGACATTTGGTTCCACTGTATGTCCATACATGATAATTAAGCTAAAACTTTAAAAAATCAATACGTTTCCCTTGACCTGACCCCTATATGTGAACTTAAATGTAGCAGCTCACACTTTTTTCACCAATGACATTTCTTCTTGAATGTCTTCAGCTTGACTTTTTGAAAGCCCGTAGGAAAGATGCTTTACAGCTTCATTTCATATATTTCAGCTCGTGTCCACTGGGTTCCATCAGATCCTCAGCTGATCTCAGAGGGACTTTACGCCATCGCAGTGGTTTTGAGCTTCTCTCGTATCGCGTACATCCTTCCAGCCAACGAGAGCTTTGGACCCTTGCAGATCTCCCTTGGCAGGACGGTCAAAGACATATTTAAATTCATGGTGATCTTCATAATGGTGTTTGTGGCCTTCATGATTGGAATGTTTAACCTCTACTCATACTACCGAGGAGCGAAGCAGAACGGCGCCTTCACCACGTAAGCAGTGATTCATAATAATTCCTTTAATGAGTGTTTATCCTTTGTAATCATATAACATCCATGTCTTTATTGTTATATAATTACAAAAACGCCCAGAGCCTTTGGCAGCAGTGCAGAAGGACATGCTGGAAGTGGGCGTTTGGCAAATTTGATTATCATGACTACAGTAGCACACCATGACCGTGTGCATGTGGACGAGAGAGTGAGTAAGAGTCCTGGACTCTTCATGCTCTTGATGTTTAAAAAGGTTCAGGGTACAAAGAAACAGACTAGTAAGTTAATTAAGTGACACGGTCGCCTCACAGCAAGAAGATCACTGGTTTGAGTCCCAACAGTTTCATGTTCTCCCTGTGTTCGTGTGGGTTTCCTCCGGGTGCTCTAGGCCAGTGGTTCCCAACCTGGGGTCCGCGCCCCCCTAAGGGGGTGCCAGAGTTCACAGGGGGGGGCGCGGGAGAGGATAAGTTTTGAGGTAGAAAAAGGCATAAAAATGGTCCACTATTATAAAGGGCTTTGCAATTAATCGAAAATCCGATTTAGATTTCGGTTTCAAACGATTATAAAAAGCATTAATCGAGATAAATGATTATTGCATCATATTTCGCCACAGTTGTACACGTGTTGCTCTTAAAAGCGCGAAAGAGCTTATGTGTGTGTGCAGCACGATCACGCAGTAAGAAGCATGCAACATTCACTCTCATTCGCACACTGAGACGAGCAGAGGAGCGCAGACATCTAAAGTCATCTTAACGTGAACGCTTTAATGGTCAAATAGGTGTCAAAACGCGGTGTTTAGTGATTATTAACATTAACCCTCATTTGTATAATGAACAAACGAGTTGAGGATCAAAAGACGTGAAAGAGAAACCATTAAAGATACAGCGCGCTATAATCCTTCTGCCGCCTGTTTTTATCATTATTAAACAAACATAACGAGAAAACCCTCGCTGCTCTTGACTGAAGGACTGCTGTAGCTAAAGTGTTTTTCTTACAGTGAAGATGCTTAAAGCACAGTTTGTTTCATATTTTTATTCTATTGTATTTATTTCTCTTTCCTTTGCAGGGTGGAAAATAACTGTATGTATACAGTTGAAGTCAGAATTATTAGCCCTCTTGAATATTAGCAAACCTTTTCCTGCTAATTTCTGTTTCATGGAAAGAAAATTTAATAACTTATTTCTGAACATAATAGTTTTGATATCTCATTTCTAATTACTGATTTCTTTTTGTCTTTGCTATAATGACAGCACATAATATTTTACTAGATATTTTTCAAAATACAAGCATTCAGATTAAAGTGCAGTTCAAAGGCTTAATTAGAGTAATAAGGCAAGTCATTATAACGCTAGTTTATTCTGCAGACAATCAAAAATAAATATTGCTTAAGGGGGCTAATAATATTGACCTTAAATTGGTTTCAAAATATTTAAACCTGTCTTTATTCTAGCTAAAATAAAACAAATAGAAGAAAAAATATTATAGGAAATACTGTTAAAATTCCTTGCTCTGTTAAACATAATTTGGGAAATATTTATAAAAAAAAAAATCTCAGGAGTGCTAATAATTTTGACCTTAACTGGCAATGGTTTTGAATAATCGTGATTACAATTATGACCAAAATAATCGGGATTATGATTTTTCCCAAAATCGAGCAGCCCAAAAAAATAAAAAATAATCTAAACACATGATTAAAATTCCAACATAATAGTGAAAATAATTAAAATAAATAACTTTAAATAATTATTTAAATTTTGCTCACTCGCGCAATCTGCTTGTCAACGTATCGTAAAGGCAAAATCAAAACAAAAATGGCAGACAAACGTAAATGCAGTGATTCTTCAGAGGCGAAGAAAAAGATTAGACAGTATGACAAAGCCTACCTAAATTTTGGTTTTATTGAAGGCCAAGACAAGTTAAAACTGATTAATTAATATTTTCTATACATATTACTATATATTAATATTACACAAACACACACACACACACACACACACACACACACACATATATATATATACACACACACACACAGTACATATGTGTGTGCGTGCGTGCGTGTGTATTTATATGGTGGGGGGGCTCCAATGTTTGTATATGTTTATTGGGGGGGCCCCAAAGAAAAAGGTTGGGAACCACTGCTCTAGGCAACCCACAGTCCAAAGACATCTGCTATAAGTGAATTAAATAAACTAAATTGGCTGTAGAGCATGTGTGTGGATGAATGTGTTTGGGTGTTTTCCAGTACTGGGTTGCAGCTAGAAGGACATCCACTGTGTAAAACATATGCTGCATAATTTGGTTGTTCATTCCATTATGGCAACCTGTGATGAATAAAGGGACTAAGTCGAAGAAAACTGATGGAATGAATTTAATTAAATACAAGTATTTCATTAAGCAATTTAAAATCAAACCTTTTGGTTTTAGTAAATTTAGTAGATTTGTGGACTTATAGATAAGATTAGCCAATCAAATCTCACCTGTTGGTGATTTTCTTTTAAATTTTGTACAGCTTTATTGATAAGAAAATGCCCAGCAGGCACCTTGAGGTTAAAACGACATCAAGAACATGTCAAAAAGGCAAATCGATTTGATGTCAATTGACTACCTGGATGTCAAACTGGCAACAAAATTGACTTATGACATAGTCATCAAAGAAATGCATCAAAAATTGATTACAGGACTGTCCTATAATCGATTTTTGACATGTTTTATTTTAATGCCAGTGTTAGAATAATGTTATTTTGACATCAAGGTAGTTCACATGGATGGATACGAGTTCACATTGTAGGGATACAAAATCCAGTGCACATTTGTAATTAAAGCAAACTTTTTCTAATATTATTCTTTTTGAGTTGATATTTTGGTGGTCAACAGTGTAAATGTCAATGTTTTGACATCAAATCTATTAGCATTTTTAGTGGTGTAATGGATCACAAATCTCACATATCACATCGTGGTTTTAGTCACGGATCAGACCATTTTTTCAGATCAGCCAAAAAGGGGAGGAGACAAATGTAATTTGCTTTCCATTCATTACGAAAACAGTACTGCAAGACACTTTTGGTTTTAAGAAACAGAAATTAGAACCTGTCATTATATTACAAATAAAATTAAGAAATAAATTGTTAAATATTCAATACTGTGAAAAAATCACTGTTGCTGTTAACAGTAAATGTATTCACCTTATTTTTCGTCGACGAGAGGACGTAGCCATTTGAATCTTTTTAACTCAAGACTTCCGGTCTCATTCACTTCCATTCATTTTTAGACGTTAAAGACTGCCCGTTTCGCTGTTTGATGTTGCAAACTGATATTTCCTTATTATATTATTCTACTTGGTCTGTATAGTCATGCAAACATTTGTTTTTAGAGCGAGTAGTTTGACCGTTTTCTGCCATTTATTATTCCTAGTCATTTCTCCCATAGGCGGCTAAATCGGAAGTTCTAAAACAATCGCGAAAACAGGCGCACTTCCGCATTTTAGAATAAGGTCAATAAACCTGACATTATAATTTGTACGATCCATATGTATTTTTATTCTCATTTTCTTGAGGAATGAGAGCCGTGTGGCTCAAAACGTTACACGCTTTGTGTCAGCCTTTTTAATTTAATAAATTTGTATTTTTGGAGCCTTGGTGTTGCTGCCTTTGATTAACATTTAATTTGCACCTTTTGCAGTTTTTTGGCTGAGCACCCAGTTAAGAGGGATGTGCGTGCTTTTGTACAGTTTTTTCTAGTAGGATCTTTACATTCAATAAAAAAGAAAGTCAACTAGGTCAGCTATGAGTCAACTAGAAGTTCCTACTGGTCCAGACCATTCTTTCATTTTCTTGTCGGCTTAGTCCCTTTATTAATGCGGGGTCGTCACAGAGGAATGAACCGCCAACTTGTTCAGCACATTTTTACGCAGCGAAGGGCATTATGCACAACACACACACACACACAAACACACAACAGACAATTTAGCCTACCTAATTTACCTGAACCACATGTATTTGGACTGTGGGGGAAACCAGAGCACCTGGAGGAAACCCACGCGAATGCTGGGAGAACATGCAAACTCCACACAAAAACACCAACTGAGCTGAGGTTCAAACCATCAACCCAGCAACCTTCTTGCTGTGAGGCAACAGCACTACCTACTGCGCCACTGCATTGCACTGGTCCAGACCACAAGATCAAAAAACACCAAAGTATTAATGTGAACGTATCCTTAAAAGTACTATTCAGCCAAAGGTGAACATTTGTTTAATTTACTCAACCTTAGGGCACTCCAGATGTAGGTAACCTTTTAGAATATTCATTAATATTGATTACCTACTGGAAAACCTGTGGTCCTTGGTTATTCACACAATGCATGTCAATGGAAATCAGTCAAAAACAAATGCTCAAATATAGCCTTAAGCAGAAACTATCATGCTCCAAACACAACCCATTGGACAATTGGTGTTGACAAGACCTGAAAATATGAAGGTAAATCAGTTGCGTAACTCGAGAGCTTGCAAATGTAAATGTGAGCACTTGTGATAATAATATTTGTATGTGTAGGTTGAAATGTACACTTACAGCTCTGATGTGAACAGCTGAAATCCTCGATTTGCACACACACACAACAATCCACACACTTGTGTTTTAAATTGGAAGTTGCAGATTAATAGTTGTGTATTTGTAAAATGTCATTCACAAATACAAAGTGACAGACACACGTGTGCACGGCAAATTTGACTGCATCTTCGCTCTACAACCACAGGTCGGCACTCACAACCTCTCAGATTCGTCAGTACAACTACAAATCTCCCGCGCTCTGACTTTTGCTACACATCTCCCGCGATCTCTGTAGCAGAACTCATCTGTGCACTCGCAGATGCAGAGGCGTGAGCAGCGCTGGGCAGGGGAGGGGCGGGGCTGGTGTAAAGCTGTTTGATTGGCTGAAGCCTGACCAATGAACAATGCCAGCAGCCAACAGGACTGAGGTGCAAAATAATCATTTCCCACGATTA